AAAGACAACTGTGTTATGTAGCTCTAGCTGAACAAAGGTTACATTTCTCATTATCTATTAATTCTTCAAAAGTGAGTTATTCAAATTGTTTATGAGGTATGGAAATAATTTGGAGGAACACTTCACATGAAGCTGCTCTAAGATTTACTGGAAAGGCAGCAGGACTCTGCTCCCAAGCAAACAAAAAGTTAGCTCTGTTGCCACAGGTTGCTTCAGAAATGTGCATCTTAGATCTGAGTATAATTTTTTGCCTGACTCCTCCCTCCTGTAATTGAATAGGAAGTTTGTACAGCATTTCACCTTCCATCTCCAAGGATGACGTTCATCAGAAATCAGAGAGCTTGATTCTTTCAAACTAGTACTACAGACCTTAAAGGAAGAAAGAGAGAGAGAGCAGGAAGAGGGGACAGTCAGAGAACAGAAGTAGATCGTACCAAGGCAAAAATCCTTTAGACAAGGACTAGGGAAAAGCACTATAGGAAAGTCACCTCTGAACAAAAGCAGCTTGTTTTTTACAGTCAATAAATTAGATCATTTGATGTCTTATATTGTATATGTGCATTACTTACAGAGAAGTCAGGGTACACAGCATTTGTTCTAAAAAAAAAATGCTATGCAGTTACATATGCTCCTTCTTATAACCTTTTTAACAACTTGCCATTTTTCAGTGTTACAATAAATGCAATAATGTCTCCTTCATTTATTTCTCACCTCCACAGTTTAACAGATACAGAATTTTAAGAAAAGCAACCACAAGGGAAACACTAGCGGAAAGTATGTTGAAGAAGAGTACACAACATAGTGGCATAATACTGTTTCTTTAAAGCAGCATTTACCAAGCTAGTTAATCGTTTAAGAAGATTATTAATTTCCCATGTAAAAAAGCCCTGTCAAAATGTGCTTACTTGAAATTGTTGAGCACTTGAATTGTGCAGACTTTTGCTCACCTGATTAATAGGTAGAAAAGGATGAAATTTATGGAGAGCAGGTGTAACGGGAGAGTAAGTAGAAGCATATACAGGTTCCTATGACAAGGATAGAAGCAAAGCAAAAGAGTTATAAAAGAACTGGACTATGAGAAATGGAAATAGGAGGATCACTCATCTTCCCCTAATTGCTTAAAATGTATTAAATCTAAATATTTTAACCTTCTAGAAATGTTTTCCCTATTGAAGTCATAGAGCAAAAATGTTAGCATAATACAATAGCATGTTTACCAAAGCCACTCCATGCAGGGATTAAACAAGTTAGTAACAATGTCACTGCAACAAAACACAGAATGAAACAGCACAGCCAGAGGATACACTTTTCATATGCTGGTAATTTTTATGTTTCTCTTTTCACACACCATTAAATTGATGAACCACGTCAACCACAATGTGAATAATTCCACTGCAAGTTAAATCAGACCCTGCTAAATAAGCCATCTCTTCTCAAAAGCCATCTGGAAGGAATCTAAGCCCACAACACTCAGTGAAGGTGAGTTCACCATTCTAAACAACGCCTACAAATAATCCCTCCCTGCCTCTGAGCTGGGCTTATCCAAAGCTGATCAGACATGGCTTTATAATCTAGAACTCTTATTTTCTATAGGTTAAAGCAAATGTGGAACATTGCACAGAATACAGGTAGATGCAGCTCATTAGAGTGGCTCGAAATGAAGCCTAATCATTAGAGCTTTGATTAGAACTGGATACGAGCACTTGTGGATGCCATATATGAAATGGATAAAACTATTACCACAGCAAGAGACTAATAATTTTGTCTAAAGGTCACTTTCTAATGGCTTTAAGATTTTTTTACACACTTAATCTCTGAGTAATTCTGAATTGACTGTTTAGCCCTAGCCTTTAACATAGTGCTGAGCTGCAATTTGAACTTGCTACAAGAATTAAGTGCATTTCAATGTCAGTCACTGCTTTAATGCAACTGTAATGCTGCTGGTAATCACATTAATTAGGGACTCTGTTAAAAATGGCTATTTTGATACTAAAGGAGGATTTTCAAGTTAGCTGGTTTTTCTGCCCATGAAGAAAACCCAACAAACTGGAACTTTTCCATCCAACCAAAGTTGATGAATATAAAAATAAACTAAATCCAAAATATTTTTCCCAAATAAAAAGGATTTTTTTTTCTCAATAAGACATTCCTCAGTGTACAGTTCTTCCTCTGATGTTAGAGCTAATCTTTTTACTATCCAAGTATGTTTTACCATACATATAAATAATTTTAGAAGTCTCACAGCTTCCAACGAATTTTCCTTCTATGTGCAGCAATCATCAGAAGAGATGCTGGACCTCCAAGTAAATCTCAACTTCCCCTCTCATCTGTATCTCCTCAAGTTGATTCCTTATTTCCTTTTTCATCCCCATTTGAGGTTGCACTGTCAGCTTTTCCATGGATTTTATGTTTTTTCCACAGTTTAGCCTACATATAGACTAACACATTTGGAGAAATATCTTACCACGAAGACAACTCTGCAGAAACATTTTCATGATGAAACATGATGAAACAGTACTATTTAATATAACTATTTTATGTACAGTACGAGCCTTTCAACTGTTGCTGTTTAAAAGAAATCTAATAACTTCTATTTTATAGAGCTATCCTTCAATAATCAAATCTCCAGAACAATTCAGACCTTTTAAAAGGCACACGCATGCACAAAAGAAAATCTAAAAAGGTGTCTGGCTACATTAACAGGAGTCACATTCTGCAACTAAAAACTTCAGGCATTATTTTGGAGCAGCAGGGCATGACAGAAGTTTACACACCCTTGTTGTCAATGCATGACTGCCATGTGTAGAAATTGTATTTTAACTAGCTCAGTACACAGTAATCAATAAGATCCCTGCATTTTTATTGCAAACCAGAGACAGAAAACTCTTGAGATTCTCAAGTACATTTTAGTCTCAAAGCTCTTCTACAAATAAGAGAATTGTGTCACACTGCTTCATGGTCCTCAAATGATAATAGCAATCAAATTGATTAATTATCAATAATACTATTTTCAGATTGAAGGGGAGCTGACATGCAGTGTTGTAAGCAGTGTGGTCAGTTAATGGAGCTCAACATTATTTATCATACATCATATAATGAATCAGCATGGCAAATCTCAATACGGTACAGGAAGTTGTGTATCTAATAAAACTAATTCTTTTTTCTTATACATCCAAGATTTCACCCACTGGCAGACATGCAAATCCTTTGTTTCAGGCTCTAATTAGCCAAGAGCTAACATGAACTAACAGAGCGGGTGACCCAGTGTCACAGAAATTCCCACTGCTAGCATTCAAGCTTCAAAGCTTGTACCCTCCAAGCACTTCATGCTCGCTTACTTGCTTTAAAAGCCCAACTTGTGCTATGCTGAGTGAAGTTGCTGCACATGGTAACACAGCAGGGAGGATATGGGTGCTGGGGAGTGAGAGGAGAGAACAAAGGTTTTGTCTCTGCCTAAATCTTGGCAGCTGCTTAAAGCTTTTTCTCAACCCCATTGTCTTTAGCTGGAGTACATTTGTTATCTGATCTTAACAGTTGTCATTTTGGAGACTAGGCTGTTAAAAATGTGACTTCAATTTTGCTTTTCTCCCTGAAACTATTTTTGCTTTAGGACATCTTTCAAATGTGCAACTGGATTTTTGAGCAAGTCCACAGGGCAAAACCAAAACAAAACCCATAAATCAAACTGCAAAAAAATCAGGTTTCTTGTTTTCCTGTCCAGTTAACACACAAGCTACTGATGACTCACATATTCAGGAACAGATTTATCCTCAATAATGACAGACTGTGTAACAACTCATTACGTGTAATATACTAATGGAACAGGATAATTGTTGTTATTGTTTGCTTATAGTACTTAATAGAAGCAGCATTTTCACAACTAAATAACTGAACCCAAAGAGTGCTGTCCCCATTAATAAAATTTGTAACACAAATTTAATCTTTATTTGTCCTCTGTGAAAATACTCCTTCAAAAATTGAAGGCTTTTGAAACAGTCCATTTTATCTGACACTATAGTTTTCAAATTACTAGACTCAGAAGGGAAGCAAGTCTACATTAGTCCTGCAATTTGAACCAGAGCCCACCTGGAAGCAAATCTAACAGTCATACTCATTTCCTGTGCTTTGGTTCACATTGCAGAATGCAGACTTTTGGATGAAACTAAGCCCTGAAGTGCACTCCTGCATTCCCATATAACACCATGGCTGCTAAAGGCAGTCAAGCCACAGAAACAGACAAAATTTAGCAAAAATTCACTGCAGTGAAACAAGCAAGTACTGCCTGGATAGCAGGTGCTCATTGGTAATCATTCTGATTTACAGATTCACTCCAGCTGAGCAACATAACTCACTCAGGTATAGCCATAGCCAGAGAGTGTGCTAACAATGTGAACTTTCCTCTACACCTTTCTACCTGTCTTCCACTCTATTCACTAACACTGACAAAACAGATAAAATCCTTGTCCAAGTGGTTTTGGCTATCCACAAACATCAAAAGTCATGCAAGATAACCAAAAGCCAAATGGTTCAAGAATACTCTGGTAACTAAACATTCTCAGTGTTTCTTCAATCTAAAATTACTGCTCAATAAAAAAAAGAATATGCACAGAGACAATAGAGCTTTAGGAATCTGAAATTTTTACACGTTCACCCATACTAAAGAAAACACTTGATATTAAAAGTTTTAAGCTAATTTCATTGTGGGGGGTAAAGCTTAAATCATTATACCTGTAATTCCTGAAGCCTTACAGGCCTACTTAATGATTCATTTACTGCTGATGTAAAGACACTGTAACCAATATTGTGTGTTCCAAGACAGTGAAGACATTCTTGCTTAAAAAGCTGTCATGTTGGAAGAACTGTTTTTTAAACAAGCCTAACAACAAGAGGAATAGCAGGAGCTAGTAGCTAGTATTAGGCATGCCTATCTAATTGGATGCATCTTCAAAAAGCTCAAGCATTTCAAGCAAGATGTTTTTTCCAAACAAGGATAGATTTACCTTCTTCAACAGCTGCTCAACTTCTTGCATCTGAGTGCTACGATCAGTGACAGACATTTTTGCATACTCCTGCTTTTTGCTGAGCCTGCTCTTCCAATCTTCTTCACCACTCTTCTTCAGCAATGCCAACCTGGGAAAAAAACCCAAACATATCAACAGGTAGCTTTAAGCATTGTAATTCCCATTACCCTCAAAAGCTACCCCTATTGTTTGCTTAATGCTGCATTTAAGAGAATTTGAAATTATGTTTTCTAACATTAACTATAGTTACTTGCATTTCATACACCTATACAAAGCTTACAAATGAACACCACACCTTTACTGAACATGTTGAACATGTTGAATCTGTCAAAACACAGACATCTAACTGAGGTAGGCATCCCAGTAAATTTGTATTGTCAGTGGAAATGGCCAATACAGTCAAGGAGACCAAGGCACAGTGCAGATCTTCCTAAGTAGACATATAAATAGGTTAGATTAATCACTGCCTTTTTCCCTCCCTTCTGTAGATAAGGCATGGACAGTGACTAGCTCAGGTACGGATGCTTATGATGTAGATGTCCAGTGCTAATAAGGTGAATCCAACCTTTGGTCTCTATTGTACTCATTAAAAAAAGATTTAACAAATTATTTTCTTTAAAACCTAAGAAGAAAGAAGTCTATTCAGCAGGTACACACCAATTAGGACTCATCAGGCACATCAAATGACAACTTTACAGTTACTGCTTTCATTACAACTCCAGTGAATAAGGTTCCCACCAGACTCCTAGGGATCACTTAGTACCTCCTTGCTTAGCTTAGGCATTGCTGTGACACAAAGCAGTAGTCCTAATGCACCAGTAACCTGCTGCTAACTATACTACAACTGTGAAATCTGTCTGCAAGATTTTACTTGTTTACAGGTTGTCTTATATTTAAAATGTGTTAATCTCAGGTAAGTAGGATCTTCTACCAGTGCTATTTCCTCATCTTGAGCAAAACACTAACTGATACTGACTGGCTCTGGTGGGGACAGCACGTAGCTTTATTTGCTAGAACTGGAACCTATTTGTCCACACAAACTCTGAGGTGACTAGTGTCACAAGCCAGTACTGGGGGGCTACCACCTGGGAATACAAGGTCTACACAGGCATCTTACCTTCCTCAGAAATTAATATTTCTATGAATTTTCTACCTTTCAGAAATCATTCTTAGTAACCCAAAAATGTGTATCTGCAGTACATGTACAAACAGTTGAATCAGTTAACAACATTTTTATTTTAGTTGAATTAAGTTTTACTACATAATGTTCTTGAATGTGGAGCATTTTAAAAAGTATTATACAAAACCCCTAACCCTATTCATATTTGAACAGGTTGAGTTGTTAAAGCGTTGGCAGCCTATTTTGGCCACAAAATACAGAGATCCTATTTTGGAGATGCAATTACTGTTACCCTCAGAGTAAGTCTTGCCCTGGAACTCTGAGAAGGAAGGGGTAGGACCGAATAGGTCTAGTCAGAAGCCAAGTTTCAGGCAGCTGCTTCCTGCAAAAATCCAGGGTGTGCAACCATGCTACTGACCTATTCAAGGACAACCAATTGGTCCTAAGGCAGTCAGTTGAGAAAGACTGAGAATGCAGAAAACAGTTAATCCACAGAATACAATGGCAGTAAGAATGTTAGTATTCAAGAAAGCAGTTATTTCCTCTCTTCCTGCCCAGGCAGGCAGTGCTGGCAGGCTTCACATCGCCTGGTTGCTTCATACCTCACAGCAGGGATGAGTAGGGGTGAGAAGCACTCACAATAAGGAGTTGAGGCCATGGTCATTGTTTCCAGAACGTATACAAGATTTCACTGCCCAGAACTAATCTTCTGGAGTGCATCCATGCATGTGTGAAACTGTGGAGGAGATCAAGATGCGACTGAATTGCCACCATGCAGTTTTTTTAACCTGACATTACTGCAGGACCTGTGCCCCAAACAGCTTGGTTGATCAGGAAGAGAAAATTTGTAATTCTAAGACTGCTTCTTTGTCTTTAGAGACGATGTATTATCCTCTGTCTTAAGAATAAACTCATACTAGCCCTTCATTCTTTACTTGTATATGGAATGTAACAACTCATTCCTAGTGTGAGAAGACACATTTGTCTGCTTTGAGGAACAAAACTACCACCTAAAGAAACATGCATGACCTGTATGAAAACTTCACTGCTGTGTAAAAACCTAAAGCCATGCATTTGCTCTGAATGATGGAAAAAGCAATAGGTTCAGACTGCCCTGACTCAGCAATGACTGGAGGGCACTCTTTTGTATGAATAAAGATGCAAGGACCATTGAACTGGTTTACGCAAGCAAGCACACAAGCTTAACTCCAAGTATATAAAGTGGTTGATTCTTTGGAAAGTCTATAAAAATAAGGTAATTATTTGGTCTAATCCTTGAATTTGTTCAAGGCCTGTTCCCTACTAGTTTTGTTGCATACCTCTAGTTTTCCACTTCTGACAATAATGAATAATCATTCATTATTCACTTTCACAGTTCTATTCATACTGCCTTTGGCTCCAAAAGTTCCTTTTCAATCTGCAAAAAAAAAGTTTCACTCTTTTCTTGAAAGCAAAAAGCTTTTTATGTATCTGTCCATCTTTGGCAGCTTGCTCTGCATCCTTCTTTCACCTACTAATGAGACAGAACATCTGCCATCATTGATGACAGAATAACCATCCGTCAGCATGGGTTCAAAGCAAAAGTTTTCACAGCTGAAGGCATAATGTTGGATTAATACTGAAGGGAAACAGAAATAAGATTTGAACAAGGAGCACTGTATGAAAGACCCTGGCAAAAGCCCTGGCAAAAAAAAGTAAAAAATGACATGTCTTTCTTGTGTGGCAATATGTTTAGTCTGTTAGCTGCTAAGGTTATCCTTGAGATAGATTAAACTGGACACAGGCTTGGCTTTTATACATACTCCATTGGCTGCACTCGACCAGTTCTTTTCAGCTAAATCATAAATTCTAGAGGCAAATATGATAAGTATCTACCATAGAAAGTATCTATAAAAAGGAAGCTGACTGTTAAAGGGTGCATAAATTCATGATAGTGTGGACTAGTCTGCATAACAAAATCTTGCTCTGGGGTCAATACATCACAATAAATTGAAGATTAAATTTAGGCTGGGCTCTTCCTGAGAAGGAATGAATGAATGATGGTAAGAGGTCTACCAGAAATCAGAGGTATTGACAGATTTTTAAATGGTGATTGTGGCATGAAGCTGACTTCTAAAGCAGAGCTGAGAGGGTGGCTTGTAGCAATTCCAGACTCCATAAATGCACAAGGACAGGTAGTTACACACAACTAATGCTCCATTCAAAGTCCTCCACAACATTCCTCTTCCTGAAGGCAAGACAATTAAAAAACTGTTTCCACCAGTCCTATATAACACATCAGTGATTGGCCTTGGCTGCCTAAAACAAAACACAGCTGAAATTAATCAGAGATATGAGCCTTTTCTCCCTCTCATCTTCTAGCTGCATGTTTGCACAAGAAGAGAGGATAGGTGTCTTTTATGCCTTGAAATATCATGATTTTCATTCTTCCATAGAATACAGGTAATTCTGAAAATGCCAGGTATGCACTCGCTCCACAAAGTGAAATAGAATAGTTCAGTGAAATAAGTCTTTGTGGAAAATCACTTTCATCTAGATCAGCATGCACGCATCCTGCCCAAATAATACTACATCTGTGGAAAAGCTGTTCCTCCATAAGGTGAAAGAATGTCTGACACAGCCAGAAAAATCCACTGGATGGGAATTTGAAGTTAGTCAATGTAAGAGCGGGGAAAAATAAAAAATCGGAAGTGGAATAGTTAATCTTCAGCTGAAATGTTCTTCCAGGTTTGCGAATACTTGGCATCAGCTGTAGCCAAGCAAACAAAAATTAATAATTCCATAAATTAATAATTCCATAATTCTGGACCAGGTAGACTATTGTGGTACTTGGGAAGACTCAAACATTTTTATACCAGCTCTGCCATTTACAGACATTTGTGAGATCAGAATACATACATTCCTGACAAGACAGCAGGTATTTTCTTTTGTCAGCTTTGGGACAGAGAGACGGTCTTGGAGGCCTAATGAAAACGATTCCAGATTGTGAGCATGACTGACAGTCTTTAATAGCAGTTCCTCAAGAGATCAACTCAACTGGAACAACAAACTTATGACTGAAACAGCTGCTAATCCTTAGATCTTCCCTCCAAACTCTTTTTCCTTACCAGAATCAGGGAAGGCAGATAATTTACCACCTATAAACCAGAAGTTACTAATCTGAAACCTTATCTGCCCAGACAGTTTTCATTTACATAATTTTTATTCAGAGTAGGGAACAGAGTGGTGGGATGAAGGTTGCTTTAAGCAAAACAACAGTAAACTGGAAAAGGTAAATTCATCCTTCAGAAGGGTGGACCGAGTTCGTACTCCTAAAGTTTTAACTAATTTAGAATGACTTTTACAAGTACTGCAGCAGCTATTGGAGCTTCAGTTACAAACTCCTACTGTCTGCACAAGCACAGAAGACAGTATTTTGTTTCAGATCAGAATGATCTTGGGTTGGAAAAAATATTTCTAATACTCTTCCAAACCTGTCCAATTTATTATCCTTTTAAAATTCCTAAAGTTCCTAGAAGTTAAAATGGCAACCATGTTATTTCTGAAGAGGGAAACATCACAGCTTCTAAGCCTTACTCCCTGTACTCAGCTTATTTAAAAGAGACTACTCCCGTAGACCAACAAAAGCTTACTATTAAAAAAAATAATCAGATTATACCTGTGGTAATTCAAACCAGAACGCAGGGAAGTATGTTGAGTGTATTAGTATAACTGTAACTAGAACATGTATTTTTACAGCTTTCATTTTCTGAATTACTTACTGATTATTCAGGTGGCTTTCAGAAATCAGATTATCATGTTCTCTTGAACAGTAATTCTCATTCACCACCATCTGCTTTATAAGCATGTCAGGAAGATTTGCTGCAAGTTTCTGCTGTTAGTATTTCATATCTAATAAAGCCTAAGAATCACTTAGTTTTTTCAGAAACAGGTTTAAAGCTTCTTTTTATACCACGAGTCTAATAACTGCATTTATAGAGATAATTTTTTAGAAGTGGAATTTAAGTACCTTTCCTTAATTGACATAGTTTTGCTGGAATTATCAAGGATATCCTCAGCTGTTTGTGCTTTGTTCTCTCCAACGGAAAACATCTCACAGGAATTCTTATAAAATTTGCCTTCCAGTTGTTCAGAGAGCTCCTGCAGTCTAGAAGATGCCGCAGTTGCAGTTTCTGAAACTGTCCTCATTGCTGATGTGCTGGTGAGTTCAGAAGTTGGCTCAGCGTGGTCTGCCCATTCAAAAGAGGAGTGCTGAATTAAACTTAGTGCTATTCTCAAATATATTTTACATTACTAACACTGAATCAGCAAATCTGTTTTTTAACATTCAAATCACATGCCATCCTAACAGAGGAAAAATTTCTGGCTGAGCTAGAGTAGAAAGATTTGCCCATTTGTGACTGAAGTTCACATGAAGCCACAGAACATCATGTTCAATACACAATTCTGAACTTCATATGGATGAAGCACAAGCTGCTGCTCCTGTCATCACACCAACAGGAAAACAAATGGGCAGATGAAAGTGAGAAGGAAACAAAGAGTAGGGGAAGACAAGCATACAAAATTTAAATAAGAAATTAACTTACTGGTAAAGCAGTTTAATGCATAAGTAGCAAACTAGGAGGACATTTAAATAGCTTAATAAAGGTATTATTGCCTAGGAGAGTGCTGGGGTTTTTTTTGGTTTTATTTTTTTTTAAGCAGTAATTAAACCGCAGGAAAAACTGCCTTGATGAAAGATACATACACCACTACAGTTATTCTTAAGGTATTAGAAATGATCTTCAATTTTCTTTTTTAAATTTTACAAGCACAACATCCCCCTAATACATGACTGCTCCTGTTTTATCCCAGTCTCCATCTCCCTTGCAGTCACCAAAAGTGGCAGAAAGGACAGAATGGACAGTACTTTTGAGAAAGACAGGCAGAATTATACATTTTTTCTTATGCCTGTTCAAAGATCATTACATTAAAAAAGCCCTAATTTTACAGGGTGAAGACAAAAAGGCTTCTAGCACTACACAGTAATGTGGTCCTGTACCCCATCATAAAACAGAAAAAAACCACAACATCCTTCTAAAAACCAGTGCTTTATGCAACGACCAAATGAATCAATTATTTCCAAAGCACTTTATCTAAAGATGGGTGAGTGTACTTATTAAGTTTGAATTATGCTGTGCATATAGAAATGCAATTGCTCTGAGAATTACTTGGTTTGTGTTTCATCATCACACTGAAGAGAAAGTAGTAGTTTTGCAAGAGTAGTTACCTTAAAATTATCCACCACTAGCCATATATGTACATATGTAGTTAATATATGACTACTTATGCACAAGAAGGCAACTTGAGCAGACACTTGACCCAGAACACCAAGTTTAGCTTGTTCAGCATTCTAGAGAGCAGGGGCAAGGGGAAAAGAGGCAAGGATAAATCTTAGCTTCAGCATATAACACCAATTCTTTCAAAGTAAAAAAGTCTGAATAAAATTGGGCCACCTTTAAAGGCTGAAGGATTGAAAGAATAATAAAGATAAAAATGCATTAATAAAACTTAAGATTTCACAGATATTTCTCTACCTTTAAGCAGTGCTAAAAGAGGAAAAAATAACCAGCCCTGATAATACTTGCAACAAAGATGTTTAAAACTAGAGAAACACCATGGTTTGCTAAATGAGACTATGCTAATAGCAAGTATATACTGAACCTCTTCACGAAGTCTTGCTTTTCATAACTCTTTCCAAATCTATCTTTTCTTCAAAGGACTGGCTTTGACTTGCCATTTACCTTGTGTGTGAGTATCAATTTCCTTCTGTTCAAGAGGCTGAAAAAGTGCTTGTGAACTAAACAGTTCCATGCTGCCCTTCCTAAGGAAGCTGTGTGTTGTCTCTTTATGGTAGTCTCCTGTTTTTTCAGAAACAGGATGTGTGGTTTCTTCCTCAAAGGAGCTGTACTTTGTAATTTCATTAGCTTCATGTGCTAGAAACCTCCTTCTCTCTTCGTCATGCTTCTTTGATGCTCTGTTGATTTCTAGTGCTTCCAATGGGGGCTGCCACTGTTCTGGCTTCTGTGTGCGTTTTCCTGAGGAGTCTAAGTTTTCTGCCGAGGACTGGAATCTCAAATCAGCTCTAGTGGCAATGCTTGCACTTCCATCAGCAGCTGCCTTCACATGCAGGTCTCCAGAGTACAGTGGAGAAAGGACAGATGCCATTGTTGAAACAGACGTTGCAACTGCAGTTGACAGGGGAGTTAGTTTTCCACTCTCATTTTGTACCTATGAATAATAACAACAAGAAAAACAAAACAAAACAAAAAAGACTTATAAACTCTGAAATAATCAATTACTGAAAACAGTCTAATCACATCAGTTCTTTAGAGATGTGCTTCCATATGAACACAGTGCTCTGTAAATCCAGACTAGAAACAGATGAGGAGGGCAACAATGCCTATATAATTTGGCTGCAGATGGACTATTCCACCCAGGGAAGAAACAACTGCATGTGAACAGCAACATCTTTAGCAATAAAAGGTGTATGTGTAGCATGCAATGTGATCTTGTGCCAGGACTCCATGAAAAGGCTCATATTGACATGGTACTGAGCAGCACTGAGGGAAGAAATTAGTTCAGATTCCAGAACACCGGATGACATGCCATGTGCTGGGGCTAATCAACTCTGCATCTCAGCAGGGCTAATTAGCTTTGGCACAGCTCTGCTCTCATACAGTTATGCAGCTTTCAGCTCTGGAGTTAGCTCAGTGCCAGAGAGAGACTCTGCTCTGTGCTGTCCTATGTGGGGCAGACATTCCTCACGCTTCTGCCAAATAAATCATCTTCATGGAGGACTGTTAGTCTAAGACTTTTTCAAATATCAAACCATGAAGCTAGTCAACAGTCTGCCAAATAAATCATCTTCATGGAGGACTGTTAGTCTAAGACTTTTTCAAATATCAAACCATAAGACTAGTCAACAGCATGCAAAAGGAACAGACAAAAGTCACACCAGTAAGAGGAAATAAATTGAAAACTTAAAATGCACATGCAAATTCCATAAAGCATGGATAACACAGTCATTCATTAAACAAACCAGTAAGCACAGCAGAGACTACTATGCTAGCTCAAAGATTCTGAAGAAAGATTAAGAAAATAGTTACCAGTTTACTCTTTCTCCATTGCATCTATCAGAATTAGAAATTTAGAAAGATCAGCAAAAGGATTTCAGGTTTAATTACAAAATTATGTACAAGATACTTCTGCAATTATGTATTTTGGTAACATAACTTCTAGTTATCTAGATTGATAACTTTCTGAATTTCAAAAGCATTTCTGCTTTTAGGAAAAAATAAAAATCAATGCCACCTCCCACAGGAAAACGACAGAATATGTCCTGACTAATAACAGAAATATATAGTGCTTTCAGGAAAGAGTCTGGAAGTTGCACATAACAAAGCTCAAAAATTCCCTGAAAGCAGGAAGTGTGTTACAGTTTTTACCCCTTCAGTCAGGAATTTACTTTTAGAAGACATGCAGTATTCTACCAGCACTATGAGAGGTACAGCATGCACTAATCAGGAAGATGATGTACTCTCGAATTACTTAAAAAACACACCAATGAAGCAGGACATTTTAGAGGATGTTGTTTCTCAATGTCAGAAGACTGCTTCCTGACATGTTTTTCCTGTAAGTGTGTCATGACCCCAGTGTGTGGCTCAGAGTAAAGAAAAGGCCAGCTGTTACAGCATCTTACTATAAAGCTCTTTGCTCCAATAAAAACAAACAAATGAAAAATTGCTAAGATTGCACTTACCTGCTCAACTTCTCCAAGAGTGACTGGTTGAGTCTGGTAACGAGCATTCATTCTCCTGTGCCTAATATCTCCTCGAGTCCTTGTGGATATGGCCCTGGATACTGGTTGAGACAGTTTGTTAAATAAAGCCATCTTTTCTGCCAAGCTTAAGGTGGAAGAATCTGGTTCATCAGACTGATCTGGCCCCATTGCCTCTCTGGCAGCTCTTATCTCCTCTTTAGCTAAAATTTTTTGATGTGCTGATGCCTGCAAGCTGAAGAAACAGAACTGGAAATGAGTTTTGAAGAAGCCATTTTGAAATTTTAAAATCTCAATCTGAGAGAAGCAGAAGAACTGCACGTGAAGCACAATAGCCAACGTAATACAGCAGCCTAAGTGGTTATGCAGTGGTTCAACATTGGCATGATGAATTCTAATTCAACAGCTGAAGATTTAAAAAAAGTTAAATTTTCATTCACAAATTCATCTGATTAGAACACAACGATTTTTTTGTTTAAGGGGAATTCAAGAAGAATCTTTAGACCAATCTCTCTATACAAAACACAGAGGTATGGAGAGACATTTAAGGTGCTGTAGAACAAACACAGGTCCCACAGTGCAAATTACACAAAATTCAATTTTATTAGAAAGAATTTATGAAGAGTACATAATAAAAACATTTAAAAGATGGAATTAAACTCCAAGTTACTGCTGCTTCTAGGGTAGCATAAATTTTAATGCCTCTTATAATTTGAAGAGGAACAGAATTCAGACTGTCTTTTGTTTTATCTGGTGTAACTCAACAACAAAAAGTAGTTTTGAAATATACTCCATTAATTTTGAAGATGGTTTGACCAATGCTGAAGGCAGACACATTCATTCTTAAAAGCTGTAACTGCATTTGTCTCTACAATAATATATTTTATTCACCTCTAGCTAGATTCAGACACATTTATGGAATGAGTAGGTTTTTTGTTGGTTTTTTTTCCTCTCCATGGTGTCTTCTAAAATTCTCTCATTCGGAACACACAAACAGTATTCTGCAACTTTACCTATAGGTGGTGCAATTTCTTATCTTTAATTTTGCAAGCTAAAAACGTATGTAGAGACAGACAAAAGGGTATGTACTGCTTGTGAAATCAAGCACCCAGCTTTTGTGTTTTCATCTCAAGATGACATAACTGTACAAAAAACATAAGAGCAAAGAGAGTTCTGCTAGGTTTGCTCACATGCAAATTCATTTATTTGACTAAGAAGAATCTTCTCTAGAACAGGTAAGTGAGGTTAGAAAGGTCCTGAGAACAGATGTTTGACCCAAAAAAAAAAAGCTGCATTGTTTCATCATGCAAACGGTGCAATTTCTTATCTTTAATTTTGCAAGCTAAAAACGTATGTAGAGACAGACAAAAGGGTATGTACTGCTTGTGAAATCAAGCACCCAGCTTTTGTGTTTTCATCTCAAGATGACATAACTGTACAAAAAACATAAGAGCAAAGAGAGTTCTGCTAGGTTTGCTCACATGCAAATTCATTTATTTGACTAAGAAGAATCTTCTCTAGAACAGGTAAGTGAGGTTAGAAAGGTCCTGAGAACAGATGTTTGACCCAAAAAAAAAAGCTGCATTGTTTCATCATGCAAACATAAACGAAGTTGACATAGGCTTTAAATATTCTTGAAACAAGTAATTGACTTGACACATTGAAAAGGCATTCCAGACTTTAAAGATGCATCTGCTATTGAGGAATCTTGTGCTCCATGTAACATGCATGTTTATCCCCCCCAGTACCTGATAGGTTGTACAGTGCTCTTAACTACAGTGGGACTAGGTACTCTTGTCACTACTGTGTGGGTATTCACAGAACGTGAAGCAGGGGTAGATTCACTTTAAAGAATTGCCAAGGAGGAAAAATTCACAGGGAGAGAGAAGAAAAAAGCATTAAGAAAAGCAATACATTAAGTGTTAAATACAGAAAAGACCAAAACCAAAACAAAACAGAAAAAACAACAAACAGCAATAATTTTTAATTAACTGAGTTAACTGCTGCAACCTTTGCAAAATAATTTCTAATACTTCAAAAGAACTAAAAGCACAGAGAAGCAAACAGGTTGTCTCTCGAAGTTACTCATTACCCATAACAGAAGTTATCTCCTAACAGATTATTAGGTGAATGTCCATTCACCTTTGTTTAATTTTCCCCCAAAATTACTTTCCTTTTAAAAAAAAAAAATCATGATGTAAGAAGAGGTGCAAGAAATACATTTCCAAAAAGTACATTTGAGATTTGAGTGCAGAAGGTTTTCCCTTATACACATTCCATAAGAAATCATGCAGACTTTCCCTCAGCACAAAGTGTCTTCCTCATTTGAGTTACAAACCAAAGATGTGATTAATCCCGTTTACCTCATTTGCAGGTTCATAAGATCTGTGCTGAATTACAGCTCATACAAGTTAGGCTTTCCTAGTCCCTCTACTTCTAAAAAGGAATTTCAATATAGCTTCCCATGTGGTTCTCAAGGAAGTTGGCCCTTAACAATAAATGTTTTCCTTGCTACGAAGTTATAAACACCACGTATATGGAACTTAATCCCAGATTTAAAAGCGAGAATCAAAGTTGGAGCCAACATATGTACAAGACCTACCTAGCTGCAATGACCACTTCCTCGCTGGTAATGGGCTGTGTGTGGGATCTATCCTGCAAACGCCTCAGCCTTCTCTCTACGGCTGAACTTCTTGTCGGTGGTTTAGGAATATTTTTCATTTCAAATGATTTTTCCATTTCCTAAGAAGACATATGTCATAATTAAAACCATGGAAGAAACGTTCAAAACCAGTACTTTCCTTTCAGCATTCCTGCATGCAAAGTAGTACATTTCGCTAATGCCCATCTTTAGAAGCAGGCTGAAATTGCACTGCAGGAGTCCCAGTTAGAACTAACTCCACATCCCACATCTCTCTACATGACGTTCTTAAAGAGCAACAGGTCTGCTGTGTGTGTAGAGATTAAGTTAAAAAAAGTTATGTATCTTAGATTTGATTAACTGCATTACACTGCACTCTAATGCACTGTGGGTTCTCCAATATCTTATTTATGAATGTTTAACTTAGCCTTTTATTAAGAAAAATGTGTTACTTACTCTAAAAAGCAGCCTCTTTGCAGCTACGCTTAGTTTGGCTCGGTCATCCAATTTTTCCTCGTCTACACAAAGGGGTAAAAAAAAGATGGGAGACTGAATGTAATTAATCAAGCTCATATTAACTGCAAGGTTTTTTGACTAAATGATTATGAACTCCTAAAAAAATATGTTTTACAAAGGCAAGAAGCACCAGAATCAAACAAGCTGGCTGCTAATCCTTTTTAACACAAGATTTATCATGAACCAAATTGTATAAACTTTACTTGTATTTACATGTATTGTGTCAGAGAAAATTTCTTAATAGGATTTGAGAACAAAAGACTTGTCTTCAGCACAGTTCACGTGCTTTCAAGTTATCCAAACAACCTTTGAAGAGCAATAAAACTTACCACATTAGTACATGGTCACACATGGACTAAAAAAAACAATTATACTGAAAGACTGTCTTAAGGGTTGAAATTTATCCTGCTCTATAGAGCACCTATTTTCTACTAGCTGACCATACAAGATGGTGTCTCCTGGAAGCTGGTCATTCTGATAACCACAAGGTCTCCATTTTTCAGAACTCAACTGGTAGACTTAGGAGCTGAAATCAGCATCCTCCAGATCCAAGAGCCAGCATCTTAAAGCTGCATAGAATATCAGCTTTCAAATAGCATAAGGCATTACATCTAAATTTAGCTACACATGAGATTACCTACTTAATTTGTGCCAGACTTGCCGAGAGCGAAGAGGGAAAG